GAGTACTGTCCAAAGTATTGAAACCAGAAGCAAACGAAACGATTGTTCCCAAGGCAAAGTGCCTATTTCCTCGTAATTCCTCTTGAATTTCAGAAACTACGGTATACACAAGAGCGATAGTAAAGCCTTAGAAGGGTTTCATGGATGTGTCACCGTACAAAATTAACCTCGAGGGAAGACACGCGAAAATGGCTTGCAGACATCCGCGTGGGCGAGGAATGTTGGCAGAGCATTGGTGCTGTTAGAAGAGTTAGTCAGTGCAAGGTGGTTATTATAGAGATGATAAAGGTAGCATAATGTGGTAATAGGCGGTCCGATGGTTCGTTTCGGCATGATAAACTACCTTGAAAAATGAGCAACTTGACAAATATAAGACACATCATTATGAAAGGTTTCTGATACTCTTCAACCTTCACTCGTCCTATCTCTTTCCCTGTTTCTATGTATTTATTTATCTATCCGTCTTTCTATCGATCCATCTATTCATCGTGACCTGTTCCCTGATCCGTGTCACCCTCATCCGATCTCTTAGGCTAATTCCCAGCATCAACCTCTCATTCCTCCCTGGGCACTTGCTACCTTCCTCTCCTGTAATGTGGTCGTACTCCATGTTTTTAAACCATAGATCATGACTGGGAGCACGCACTGGTTACTTTTTTTTTTTAAACATACTGGCAAAGGGCCTCGTAAGGCCCTATCACACTATCACTTCTTCCGTCAATTTTTGCGTTTCCGTCTGAATTTGAGGCTTTCCGCAAGTATCGTTTGCAAACGGACCACCTCTCAGGAGAAGACTTTACGACCGTTTCCGTCTGATTAATTGCTGTGCTGATCTTGTGCTATTAATAAATTCGATAGGATGAGTGAATCCAAACGTAAGCTATTATTTTAGAACACTCGCATATACAATATACATCATCATACCTCTTTAAAATAAAGTAATTTGTAAGAGAATGTTTGTGTGATTCCCGGGACCTCAATCCGATATCGCCATGTTCGTTTACAGGAGTAAGTCGATTTTCATACGCATTCATTCGGAAACGCAAAAAATTAACGTAAAAGTAATAGTGTGATAAAGCCTTTAGTATGCTACTGTGTCTGCCGAAGGCGCTCCAGCCTAGGCCGATGCGTCGATATATTTCCTCTCTACTGGATGTGTTTGTATGAGTTGCCATATATATATATATATTAATATATATATTATATATATATATATATATATATATATTGTAAACACACACACACACACACCACACACAACACACCACACACACACAACATATATTTGTCTACCTCTAGTATTTTGCCTTGTACATGTATCTGTTCGACCTGAACTCTGCTGCTGAACATGTCTTTTTGTTATTCAACTTGTCCAACTTTAGAGAACTAGAGAATATCGTCTGCAAGTAAAGTGTTCGTCCCCTGTTTTGATGCCCTTTCCGTTCAATTCTAGTTTCTTGAATAATTTCTTCAAGACAAGCTGTAAACAGTTTTGGTGAGATGGTGTCGCCCTGCCTAATACCCTTTTTAATTGGTACTTTATCCATTTCTGTATGGAGCTTGATGGTTGCTGTCCCATCTTCGTATATGTCTTTAATATTTTACAATACAGTAGACTTATCTGCTTCTTGTCTTCGAATAGCCTCTAATATTGTTGGTATTTGTACATAATACTAATTCCATCTACTGGTGTTTTCCCTCTTCATATCTTCAGGTGCTGTTAGGTCTATCTCTAATAATCGCGTTTACTTCTGCCCATGGCTCTTTATCTTATTTCTACAAATCCCTGTAAAAATCTTCCACTACTTCATTGATTTCATTGTTATATGTCACTTATTCGTCTGTGTTTTATTTTATTTATTTATTTTTTGTTTCATACATTTGGTTTCTTTGTTATTTTCATACCGGTACCTGAAATTGTTATTTCATTAATGTTTGAGCATTGGCTGTCCGTACATCCTCCTTCTTCTTTTTATTTATAGCCTTTGTTCGTTCAGCTAATCTTATTTTTGTTCCTACTTGACGATATTTGTATGACCCTACGTTTTTGCAGAAGCTGTTTAGTTTCTACCGAGAGTTTGCTGGAGTTTGGCTTGTCTCTTTTACCGCCTACTTTTATATGCACAAGTGCAGCTTCCTTTACTGCGTCATTGAACTGTTTGTTGATTTGATCAGTGTTAAGATCTTCGATACTGTGAAGTAAGTACTTGTTATGGATGTAAAGCTAAATTCTGTCGCCCTATTCTTCAAGTTGGATTTGGTTGCAGTTTCCGTATGAGTTTATTCCTTTCCCTTCGGAGGTGGAATATGCTCTCGCCTCTGACCGTTCTGTGGTAGCTACCATTTACTTTGTTGATAGCTTTTACATTTTTTTCATTGTCGCTTATTTGAAATTATGAATTCAATATCGTTTTTGATCTCAGTTGGCGACTTCCATGTCCATTTCCGCTTTAGTCTTCTTTCGAAAAATTTCTTCATGATATTGAGTGATCGAGAGGGCCTCAGCAAAATAGATCAGCGTTTGTCCTTTCTCATTCCTGGTGCCTGTTCCGTGATTCCGATTTTTTTAACCTATCTTGTAATTAAAATCTCTCATAATTGTGTATTCTGTCTATGTCTATGTCTATTTCTATGTTGGTTTAGTGAACATCTTCATAGAAGCTCTATTTCTTCATCACTGTAGCTACAGGTCGGGGCATAGACTGAAACAATCTTTAAGATGCACCCATTGTTAACTTTTTAATATAACCGAAGCCACTATTTTGCTGTGGAATTTCACATTCTTTGCTAAGCATTTGTGAACTAAGAAACACCCCTAATTCCTGCTCGCTACTCTAGGGTTTGCCTCTCCAATAGAACACGTGCCACATCATCCCGCTTAATGAAAGATAGATCTTAAAGCAGTGCTAGTGATTCGGATTCAGTTGTCATAGTCCTTATATTATGTGTTCAAAGGTTCATTGTCGTGGGGCGGCCTGTCTTTAACTGAAGATTTAGCACCTTCCGCTCCGGGGCAATGACCAGGGGCTCCTTCGCCTCCGGGGAATAAGGGCCGTTGCTTTGTTTGGGTAGCCATGGGAGGTATACAGCCGTGTGCCGCTCACATACTGGCGTAAACGTCTTGGTGTGAGGGGGGGGAGGGGGGTAATTTAGCCGGGGTGAGCATGGGCTTGAATCACACACACACACACACACACACAGATACCTAGTGTACAGATGTTTCAAGTTTTGGTATTTGTGTATGTATTTTTTTCATTTCAATTATTTTATCGCCTTCAAAAATATTCAAAAACGATAAAATCTCATTCCCTTTTTGTTATCAGCTTCCAGAAACATCCCTTGGAAGTTTGGACAACCCGAGGGCAATCGAGTTCTTCCACATCGAATCCCTGACTCATCCCAACTACCCGATCTTCATCGAGGCCCGAACACCAGAAATCCGTGAAGCCTGGCTGTCCGGCATCGGAGAGTACGTCGTTGACACAGGTGGGTTTCGCGAGGGGAGGCTGTGCGGCACCACCAACAGTGAAGCCGGACCCCGGGACAGCTTACAAATACTAGCTGACAAGACTTTGAGGGTGATTTGGGGGGAAGGCGAGTTGGGGTTAAAAGTTAAAAGTAGATTTATGGTTAATAATGATAATTTAGGGTAGATTAAGGTTGATGAATGTAGATTATGATTAGATACTAGAGTAGGTGAGGGTAGACTAAAATAGAATTGTGGTAAATAAGTAAAACATTTAAAGTGCTTTCTGCCTCTACCTCCGTGATTCAGTCTGTTATCTGTCCGTCTGCCTCTCTCTATCTATCTCCCTCTCTTTATCTATTTCCCCCATATTTTTTCGTCTTTTTCATAACATTGAACGACTCTGTCTTCCTCTGCAGCATCGGTCGAAGACCTCCTGTTTGACGACGAACTCCGCGTTGTCTCTCAGGACGTAGATGAGGACGACGCTGGTGTTGTCTCACCCGTCCCCGAAGTTCAGGAATTCGAAGACCTTCCTGAAGACGGCGAAGCCGCTGAAGCTCTTCAAGGGCAGGAAGACTTTTGGGCGAGAGAACCATCTCCTCCCGCTAAAAGGCAAAAACCAGAGGCTGTACCCGAGGAAACCGCTGAGGTAGACTTTTGGGCACAGAAAGAATCCACCCCTCCCAGGAGGCAGCCAGTCCCTGGGCTCGCTCCCGCCGCGGAGGCTGCTCCAGAGCAGGTAGAGGAATCCACTCCTGTAGCAGAGCAGGAAAAGGCATCAGCTGAACAGGCTTCATTCATTCCTCAGGAACCTTCCCCATCCGCACAGCAGGTAAGGTGCATGAGTTCTTTTTCCAGCGACGAGACGAGGCCTCTGGATAGCGATATTTGTATAAGGACATTCGCGATACCCATGCTAAGTTCTCCCCCCCCCCTCTCTCTCCTCTCCCTGTCTCTTACCCTTCTCTCTCTCTTTCTCTCTTTGCCACTACCCTCTCCTCTCTCTTTTCTCTCTCTCTTCTCTCTCTCTCTTCTCTCTTCTCTCTCTCTCTCTCTCTCTCTCTCTCTCTCTCTCCTCTCTCCTCCTCCTCTCTCTCCTCCACTCTCTCTCTCTCTTTCTCTCTCTCTCTCTCTCTCTTCTCTCTCTCTCTCTCTCTCTCTCTCTCTCTCTCTCTCTTTGCCACACCACTTCTCTATCTGTCTCTTTTGCCCCCTCTCTTTCTCTCTGTCTCTGTCTCTCTCTCTTTGTCTCCCCTCCCCTCTCTCTCTTCATCTTTTCAAAAGTAACTTAGCAAAAGGTGCGTCGTTGTCCTAGTTAGGATACCGCATGCATTGGCCTCGCGTCTCCATCGGAGCGGAGAAAATTCATGAAACGACGTTATACCGGTACATCAGGGAGGAATTTTGAGTTTTCGTGCGGACCAAATGCTCGTGTGGGAATAACCTGATTTATTCTTTTTTCTTTTCATGAACACATCTTTAACACTAACTGTTTTATCAAAATTTCATCTAGAATAATGATTTTGAAAAC